TACAAGTATTTGAAATATTTTAAATAAAGTATTTGAAATATCTGAAATAATTAATAATTACAAGTATCCAAAATAATATTTGAAATTCGTAATTTTAGATTTACGAATATTCGAATATGGAGTTATAATTATGGTTAGGAACCCTAATATATGTATGTATATATATATATATATATATAATCTCACCTTACAAGCTTCATAGACCTTGCTTTTAACACTTCAATCAACTGCTATATAACTACAAATAATTGATAAAACATTCATCAAGTATAACGATTTAAAAGGATTTTTATTTACATATTTAATAAATAATATTAATAATAAGCACAGATTGTACTTGTAAAAACCAAGGTTTGTTTGTTATATTCACTCTCATTAATTCCGATGTATATAAGATCTAGATGATCACGTAGCAATATATTAATAGATAATAATAAATAATTGTATATTTACATACAGTCAAACAACAAGAAATCCGCTGTGGCAAAATTGGTTATGATCGGCAAAAAATAAATACAGAGAAATAAAAAATTATTTTAATTTTGACGGCATGTATGCTCCAATAAATTGCACGAAATTGTAAAAGTCTAGAGGATTTATCAACATTATAAGAATGAATTAGGCCAGGAATTAATGGAAAATATTCAATAATGTTTTAAATTTTTTTAATATAGTAATAGATTGATTAGATTATGCAATAGGTTGTCACTTGACTCAATCAAGTGACTTTTGAAAAACATAAATAATCGTCAAGAGTATTAAGTCAAAAAATTTAAGTCAATAAGTTTTACCTCATATTAACGTTAGTGATGATTCTTTTGATAATCTATGAATAATTGGAAAGTTCTAAACCTTTTACAATAAAATATTTTTTTTAATTATAATTTTTTTTCCCTTTTTAAATCTATCGTAAATGTCGTGCTCTTCTCACAATTGGGGAATAAATTGATAAATATGCTTTGTGATTTTCGTTATTGAGAATGTTGTACTACTGGTAGATTAATTTACTAAATTTGAACCCTGTAATTCCCTATGACACAAAAACATCCATTTTTTTTTTCTACAGAATTTTCTTTTTTTTTTTTAAAAAAAAAAAATAAAATCTTAAATTTTTTGAATTTTTTAATTCTTAAAATGTCTTGTATCGATGACCAATATTCAAAAAATCGCAACAAAAAAAATGGCCAATGTTTTAGTTGTAATCTTTTCAATACAAATCCTTCTTGGTGTCAAAAATGTGATCCACAAAAGTTGTTTGTAGGATGGAGTAGTGGCAATCAAGAAATTGATAAATTAATTCAAGAAACTCAATTGATGGCTGTGGCTTACAATGAAGGTTATTTAGAATGGATTCCTTATTATCATTTGAAGGATTTTGAAACAATTGGCAATGGTGATATCAAAATTAATAAAGCTGTTTGGACTACTGGTGAGAGAAGGATTATAGAAACATCAGACGGATATATTAGAGAACGTTCAAAACCAATTAATGTTGTTACTAAACTTTTAGCTAAAAATTATGAATATTTAACTCCAGAAATTTTTAAACATCTTAGAATTCATTACAGTTGTCAAATTAAAATTCCAGATTATATTATTCGGTTTTATGGATTAACACAAAATCCTGACACAAAAGAAGTATTTATGGTTATGAAATATGCATCTCATGGTGATTTGGGTACTTATCTAAAATCAAATTATAAGGACTTAAAATGGGCAGAAAAACTAGATATTTTATTAAATTTTTCTGAAGGATTATCATTAATTCATGAAAATGGTTGTATTCATCGTAATTTTCATAGTGGTAATATATTACAATCAAAGGAAGATAATAATAACCCCAAAATAAAAATTCTCATAACAGACTTTAGTTTGTCAACAAAGGTTAATGATACCCCACCAGAATCTATATTTGGTACTTTGCCATATGTCGCACCTGAAATATTATGCGGAAAAACATTTACTACTTCATCTGATGTTTATAGTTTAGGTATAATAATGACAGAATTGTCAAGTGGCAAAGCACCTTATGAGGATAGATTGTATGATTCTGATTTGGCTTTAAGTATCGTTAGTACAGGATTAAGGCCTGTATTCCGAGAAGCTACTCCAGAAATTTTTATAAATTTGGCAATTGAATGTTTAAATCCTAGTCCTGAAAAAAGACCTACTGCTGAAACTATTGTATCAACAGTTAAAAAATGGAAAGCAGATTTAGATAGTAAAGAAGATTCAAGCATCAAGAAATCATTTTTAGATTCTGATAAGTTATTAAGAACTCACGATAATCAAATAATTGAAAATAAAGCACTCAATTCAAGAAGTTTCTGTAATAAATCACTTGAATTCAAAAATTTACCAGATCATTCTTCTTGCAAGCCACCAAGAACTCGTATTATAAGAAGTGGTAAAGTATAATTTTAAATTAATAAATTTGTTTTCTTACAAATAATTGAGATCATTTTATTGATATTTATTTATTTTTTTTTTACATTTATATTAGACTCTAGACAAGTAGATTTGGTCATCCCAGAAGTTCTTGCTAACAATAACACTTCATAAACATTTATTATTTAAAAGTTTTTATATCATGTTAACATTAACATTTGTATAGAACAGTCACATTCATATTTCACATAGTTGAAAAAAAATTTTTTTTTAATAGGCATAATATCAAACGTAAGCCAATCAATCTCTCAAAAGTTATTCTTAACGACTTACATGTATTAAAATAAATTTTTTTTTACTGAATATATATAAAAATAATTATTAGCATATTTAATATTTCGATTTTCGTCGCGTAAATTCAAGTTACCCGTGATCTATGGTTCAAGTAAATCCTTTTGGGAAACCACAAGGGTAAAATGTTTTAATAAAATGAAAAAAGTAAACCAATGGAAATGAAGCTTAGGTCTTTAGCTTTAATTCTATCAGTTTACTTTTTTTACTTTTCCTTTTATAATCATGTGATAGTCATTGACGTTATAGATGTCCTGCCTGCACTATATAAATCAGTAGAAAGAATATTCTATTAGTACTTTGAGTATAGTGGCAATCATCTAAAGGCATCATAAAATATTGCCAATCTTTAAATGCTAGTAGGATGGCGTGTGGCTACCTTGGTATTCAACCTTCAAATGTTGATAGTGAAAGGGCATTTTCTCAAGCTGGTTTTACAGTCACTAATTACAAGGAAAACTTCAGTAAAAAAACGATTTCTTGCACAATACTTATGCATTCATGGTTAAAGAAAGCAAGAAAAAACTTAGCCCTTTTAACGATATGCCGAAACAAAATAGTAATACTTTAATAGATTGTACTTCTTAACCAGAATATAGGTTCTATGCCGGACACCATCGGCACCATGATTCTGATGCCAGTGCGCACCCAAGTGCCCAGCTTTTTTTATTGGGCACCGGAAACTTTAGTTGCAAACACCAACTTTATATCATACTGAAATAATTTAAAAAGCCTAAGCATCCATTAGATCACCATAATTCATGGATTTTTTTTTCTTGTTATTTTCTAATGCAATAAATATTATAATCAAAATTTTTTCACTTGGAATAATTTCGTATTATTGTTACGATCTTGAATTTCCATTGGACTAATACGACAGAAATTATAAAAGAATCCAAAAAATAAAGCATTTAATTCCATAATTCAATAAATTCTAAAAATTTTATTTTTTTGATTTTTGTAGACTGACAATATTATATATACATGTTTCGCTAATAGTGGAAAAACAAGAATTAAAGAAATCGAATAATTTATTACCATCATTTCTTTACATGAGAAAAAAAAATGGAAATTCATTGTGACTATCATTTTTAATTTCTCTTTAAAAAAAAAAATAAAAAAATAATGGTAATATTTAAATATAATAAATTTCCGATAATACCAAAGTTTTATCGTAAAAAATCAATAGCTATCAATGAATTAATACCGAAAAATAAAAATAAAAATCACAACCACTTTAGTTATCACTATTACACAACAACAGCTTCTACTAATAATAACAATAATAATAAAATTAATGAACAACTAAAAAAAAAATTAATTGATGAAATGATAAGAGTTGATCAAGCTGGAGAAATTGGGGCGAATTGGATTTATAAAGGTCAATTGGCAATTTTAGGAAAAGACAAAAAAGTTGGACCTATAATTCAGGTTTTCTATCATCGTCATCATCATGTTGTTATTGTTCTGGTGGTGGTGGTGGTGATGACAGTTAAAATTACAATCAACCAACCAAGTAACAAAAAATACTAAATATTATTATACAATAAATTTAAAAATAAAGGAAATGTGGGAGCAAGAAAAAGTTCATCTTCGTACATTTGACAAAATAATTGCTCATCATAGAGTAAGGCCAACTTTATTAAGACCTTTATGGGAATTATCAGGTTATGTATTAGGAGTTGGTACAGCTTTAATGGGTAAAGAAGCTGCAATGGCCTGTACTGAAGCAGTTGAAACTGTTATCGGAGAACATTATAATGAGTAAGTTGATTTTTTTGTTGGAGAGAAAATACAAAATATTGATATTATTTTTATTATTTTATTTAGTCAATTAAGAGAACTAATAAAGATTGAAAATGATAAAGATATTGAAGAATTAAGAAGTGTAATTATATACAAAAACAATTAATTAATCAAATTAATAAATTGATATTAATAAATTATTAAATATGTGCTATGTTTTTATATAATAAAGACTATCAAGAAATTTCGTGATGATGAATTAAATCATTTGGATATAGCGGTGGATTATGATGCTCAAAAGGTTTGTTTTTAATAAATAAAGAAAAAAACCTATTTTCAAGATGTAAAGTTTTAAACAACTTTCTTGTTTTAGGCACCATTTCATAGTGTATTATCTACAATAATACATAATGGATGTAAAGCTGCTATTTGGATAACAACAAGAATTTGAAAACTTAAATTATAAAAAGAAATTTATTATTATTATAAAAAATTAAAATTACAGAAGATTTGACGGCCTATCCAACAAATTTAATAATAACTATAATAATAAAAGTTGCCATTATCATGATTATCTATTTTCTCCAATGTTCTCATCATCACCTTTTTCACTATGAATATTATGATCATTACTATTAACATTCCTATAATAACTTACTCTATCAACTGCTATTAAATATTCTTTTGTATCATTATTAGTAGTATCATGATAACCTAATGGACCTAAATCACAATCTGCACAACATAAATATTTTACACCAGTTTCATTTAATGTTTTAGAAAATCCAACATTTTCAAATGAAAACATATCTGACACTTTCCAATAAGATCCTTGTGTATTATTATCATCACTAATAGAAGATGATGATATATTTTTAAAAAAAGATTTATCTGATTGTTGTTGATTTGGTGTTTTTAGCTATTAATAATAAAACAATTGAAAGAAGAATTAGATATAAGCTTGGAACTTATATTTATTTATATTTTTTTCTTTTAAAAAATACTTTACTAAATCATTAGAACGTTCAACCCAAGTCGCTGAATTTGTTTTTAAAATTAAACTGGCACAGTTATCAATGTTTGGACAATAAATATCATATTCATTAGTGGCGATATCATCATTTTTATTGGATTTTAAATTTTGTTTTGGGTTTGATAAATCTTTATAAAGAAATTTCGACATTTTATTATTTTTATTATTCTAAAAAAAATTTTATATTTACAGAAATTTTATTCGTTTATCACATAGTGACAAAATCGAATGTCAATAAGAAAAAAATAGGGCGCAAAAACCATTTTATCTAAAAATACATGCATTGATATATTGCTTTATTTCTTGATCCATCAGGTCCATTATGTATTGAAGAGTTAGTTATATTAGAGTGAAGTTTAAAAGGTTTAGAGATCTACACAAGCAAATAACTAGAATGACGAATTGCGGATCAATAATCACCACCGTTTAAATTATAAGCTATTTTAATAAGATGCGTGTAACAATCTTCTAAGGTTGAAGATGAATTTTCAAGTTTTGTACAGCAGTCCTCGATACTATCGATGTATCTTACTAGTAAATTGTACGTTAAACGCTTCCAATTGTTTCAGATGCTTGTAATAAAAGTGAGTGGCAAAATAAAGTAATTATCTTACAACTTAATACTTCATGAGTTGTTATCTATCTTGTAGCAATATAGAGCTTTAAACTCGGCCTGATACACATTTTTCCTTATGCTAATAGAAAGAAGATCACCGTCCATGAGATTTCTTAAATTTGGTAACTATATTTGCTCTTGATCTGAAATTTAAGTCTATGGAAATATAATGGCAATAGATTTTGCTAAGTTAACATTGAAACCTGAATCAGGTATCAAATAAACAATTTTTCGGGTCCTATTGTATTAACCACATTATTAATTACCAAAAAAGAAGGTAACCTATATTGTGTAGTATTTTTTATTATTATTATTATTATCGGTGAAGATCTATCTATATATACATAGTTCTTGGGGGTCACGTATGACAAAAATAATGCTATTTCAAATTACTGACGATTGGAAAAATGTGGATTAAATAATTTATAATTTCTTTTTTAATAAAGTAATAAAATAAAGCAATATTTATAGAATATAATTGTTTGCTAACTCATTAACCAATTCTTCAATTTTTGATTTATGCTGATTTATCAGCTCGGTATTTCGTTTACTTTCCAGCATCAATCGTTCAGCTTCGGAATTTTTTAGCATCAAACTCTTGTCTTTTTGTCTACAGTCATTAACCAATTTTTCAATTTTTGTTTTATGTTGATTTATTAGCTCGGTATTTTGTTTATTTTCCAACATCAATCGCTCAGCTTCGGAATTTTTTAGCATCAAGTCCTTATCTTTTTGTCTGCAGTCATTAACCAATTCTTCAATTTTTGATTTATGCTGATTTATCAGCTCGGTATTTTGTTTACTTTCCGACATCAATCGTTCAACTTCGGAATTTTTTAGCATCAAGTTCTTATCTTTTTGTGTACAGTCATTAACCAATTCTTCAATTTTTGATTGTTTCTGTTTTATCAGCTCGATATATCGTTTATTTTCCAACATCAATCTTTCAACTTCAGAGTTTTTTAGCATCAAATTCTTGTCTTTTTGTCTACAGTCATCAATCAATTCTTCGATTTTCAATTTATGCTGATTTATCAGCTCGGTATTTCGTTTACTTTCCAACATCAGTCTTTCAACTTCGGATTTTTTTAGCATCAAACTCTTATCTTTTTGTCTGCAGTCATTAACCAATTCTTCAATTTTTGATTTATGCTGATTAATCAGTTCGGTATTTCGTTTGCTTTCCAGCATCAATCTTTCAACTTCGGATTTTTTTAGCATCAAACTCTTATCTTTTTGTCTACAGTCATTAATCAATCCTTCAATTTTTGATTGTTTCTGCTTTATCAGCTCGGTATTTTGTTTACTTTCCGACATCAATAGTTCAACTTCGGATTTTTTTAGCGTAAAATTCTTATCTTTTTGTCTACAGTTATTAATCAATTCTTCAATTTTTGATTGTTTCTGATTTATCAACTCGGTATTCAGCCTATTTTCCAGAATCAATCTTTCAACTTCGGATTTTTTTAGCATTAAGTCCTTATCTTTTTGCCTACAGTCATTAATCAATTCTTCGATCTTTGATTGTTCCTGGCTTATCAACTCGGTATTCTGTTTATTTTCTAACATCAACCGTTCAACCTCAGAATTTTTTAGCATCAAGTTCTTATCCTTTTGCGTACAGTCATTAATCAATTCTTCAATTCTTAATTGTTTCTGATTTATTGACTCGGTGTTATCTGATATCAATTTTTCGATTTCAGATTTTAAGTTCTTATTCTTTTGTTCATAGTCATTAATCAACCCTTCGATTTTCAATTGTTTCTGCTTTATCATATCATTCATTTTCATATTTTCAGAAATCAAAGATTCAATTTTTAAATCTTTTTGCATTAAAATGTCATCCTTTTGCTTAATTTGGAGATTTAACGACTCGTGATCTAGTTGCATTTGTTCCATCTGTTTATCTTGAGAGATGATAGATCCAATATCAGAACATTTCAGTTGGATTTGTTGGATAAATTCATTTTTCTTTCTGATTTCTGATGATAAAGAATCGATTTCTAATTGATTTTGTCTTATAATTTCATTCTTTATTTCACATTCAGTTGTTAACGATTCATTTTCAAGTCGAAGTGTTTCAACAACCTTTTGTATTTCATAGGAGAGAGGAGGTGTAAGTGTATATATATTAATAATATTTAAAATAAAATATGCCTAAATAATAATAATCACAAAATTAGGTTCTTGATTTTCATCATTAGGACTGCTAGTAGTTGGATGCTGTTGATTAGTTTTTGGAGATGGATTTACAATAGTCAAACTTATTTTAGCTGATTTGTATTTGTCGTTGATTAATTTTTGCATTTTCTCTTTAAACCGATTATATTCACTCTCGCATTTTCTTACTTCATGCTATTATTATTCATCATTAAATCATTTATATAAAAAAAATACATAATAAAATTATATAATTTAGAATATTTAAAAATTAATATATATATATATCAGATATAATATAGAAATGTTTTATACAGCAGCTTGAGTTTTGATGTATTGGTAATGTTGTTGGACTTTTTTTAATTCTTCTTTAGTCAATCGATTCTTTTCCATCTCTTTATTTAAAGAGTCATTCAAACATCTAAATATATTATTTAAATAATAAAATATTTAATTATTGTTATTATTATATTATTGTTATTATTATTATGATTATTAAATTCTTACAGAATATTTGATTTTAATGAATCAACTTCACGTTCGCTCAAATCAAGCTTTGCTTTTAAATTTTTCTGATGCAACATGCAACGAATGAATAAATTAATAATTAATGTGTATAAATAAAACACAAATACATGTGTTACTTTATACTAATTATTTACCATGCTAGTAGCTAATAATTCATTATCACTTTGTGATCTTCTATATTGATCAAGCATTTCTTCACGATATCCGTTATCTTTTTGTTGCTGGTTTAATAACGAACCGACACAGTCCAAAATCGATATTATAGATTTTTCATCAACATTTTCAGAAATTTTTGGAAATGAAGGATATCCAAGCATTGCCAATTGTTGATTAACTCGTGACATCATATCTTGCAAACCAGTTCGATGATCATTTATTACACTGCTGTTTGTAAGGAAGTCTTGATGACTAATTTTTCAAAAAAATATATATATATAAAGGAAAAAAAACATTTTCTTTTTAGATTTCTTGGTTTTATACTCTTCTCACTTTAAATTGTAAGAAAGAAATTACAATTTTCTCGGTGTGCGTTCCCTGTTTGGTGAGGTTGGCTTAAGAAAATCATCGGTATTGAGTTTTCTCTTCAAATTTTCCATTGTGTTATTATTTAAATAAAAAGAAAATTTCCAATAATACGCGTATGTCCGAATTAAACCAAATGATAAACATAAGTCATATGACACCTAAAAAAATCTGATGATCATTCAACTAATATAGGAAAGTTGGGGAAAAAAAAAAAATCTAATAACTAATACTAAGCTACTAAGCTCATTTCTATTGGATTATTTTATTATCATAGTAATATGAATTTTCTTTAAAAGATTCTTCAGTTTGGAAATATAAAAAATAAATATATTTATTACTTGAATCGTTAAAATTATTAAATTGTTACAATTAATTAATTGAAATGCTGTATATTAAATCTAAATTCATCATCTTTAACCTAAATATATATTTTTATAACTAAGGAATCCAAAATGCCATTATAACAGGCTGTGATTTTGAAAGAAAAACAAATTACAAAAGTCAAGAAAAAACTTCTAAAGGTTTGTTTGGTGGTAAAAGGCAATGAATTGATAGAGAAATTGATGAATTTAAGGAAAATGAGAATGAGAATCCGTCTTTAAATTAGAGTTTGGCACCGCCTAAAGATTCTTTAACCGGTTAATTAAATGTAAAAACCTTCAGTTAACCGGTTAAATAAACCGTAAAACCGTTAATTTTTTAACCGGTTAACGATGCCCATCTATACTTTAAATATGGTTGATATAGAAGAAGATCAATTAAAAAATGAAAGAGATTGATTGCTGGTGCAATGAGAAGATAAAGACCAATTTTATTTTATAAAATTTCGAGCCATGACGCAGTCATTAGCATCTTTAGATGACATTAACCATGTTATTTCTAGACAAAGAATCGTGCATTTGGTTAATTATGCAAAATTATACATACCATACGTAACTTGGGTTTTGATTAATATCCATGTAATATCTAATGTTTCAAGCTTTCCTATAGTTTGAATAATCAACTTCTTATTTATTAGTATTAGCGTAAGAAAGAAATCGGTTGGAATCGGTACTACGCTTCGTTATCCTTTTTTTGTTTAGAGTTTTTTTTTTTTGAAAAAATCTGAGGTTTTACAAATTTCAACTTGTTGGAATAATGGCGTCTTCTCTCTTCATTGCAGAACTCATAGGAGGGAAGAGCGGATATGAACAGCTAGTGAAAAATCGCCGTGGAATTTTTTGAGCAATAAATTTTTCAAAAAAAAAAATTGAAATCGATCGATCCACATGATTGATTTGACGAATAATTATTTTATTATATGTCAAAATCTATAATCAATTGATACGTAAATTTACGTACCCCGTAATAATTGCGTGAAAAAACTATGAACATGTATAATGTATAATAACCACGTAATGACATCATAATAATATCTATAATCACATATTCGCATTGTCAAATGTCATCAAGATAATTCATTCATCACAAGGTTTAAAACACTCGATCGATTAATTAATGAATAAATCCTTAAAAAGTCATTTTCATATTTTTTTTTTCCTGTTCTATTCTTTTAATTGCCATCAAATTACACAATCCCAAATACCATAATCAACTTTTTTCTATAAGATTATTTTTTGTATCTTTGAGATTGATTTTTTTATAATTAATCCGCGGTTTTGATGAAAATTCATAAGATTAATATTGTAATTTTTGAAAGTTCGTATTCTTTCTTTTAGTGATTTTGGATGCTTGGTTTTTTTAAAAATCCATCCAATTTTGATGAATGTTTCTTTCGGAAGATCAGACCAAAGAATCTTGCAACAACAACAACAACAACAAGCATAGACCCATCGGCAAAATATCAATGAATCAAATGGTGTTAATTATAACGTATATCAGGGCGTGAGAAAAAATAAATACAAAAAACTTTGTGATTTGAGAATATCAAAAAAATGCTCGGGTGCTGGATAACTTTAAAAAGATATCGATTAAAAGAAAGATGAAGAGAAATTCAACGAGAAGTAGGAATTTTATTTAATTCAACTCTGAAATAAATAAATCAAGCCATCGCTTGTTTTCCCAATTTCTTCAAAAATCCGCGCTTGTGCATGTTTTTTTTTTTCAAAATCGTTTACTTTAGCGGTAATAAAAAATTTATTGGAAAAAATAAACAATAATTACAATAATAAAATTGAATTTCCGACATAAGATAAATGAATGAATGAATGAATGAATAGATAGATAATATGGAATCTCGAAAAGGCCATCTTTACGACTCATTATTGTTCGGTTCTAGTACGATAAACTATTGGGGTGTCAGATGGAACAATACCAATATTTTCCAATTCAAGTAACTTGTAATGTTCATCTTTCAACTTTTCAATAATTTCACCTTTGTATGTGATCTGTAAAGCTTTTAAT